ACATAAAAATTTCCAAAAGTGTCCACAATTTTGGCCACCACTTTATATATAAATATATCTCTATATAATACATACATATATCTATGCATATATTAAATAACTTTTATAGATATTGAATGAGTTGATGATTTATTGTTTTATCATTTACTATAATCAGTTTTGTTTTCGTGGATGTTTACAACATTTGGCAATGAATTTTCTTTAAGTCTGAATTGTGGAATTACCATTTTCTGTCAACAAAAGATTAAGTAGCAATTTGTCTATAGCTACTAGAGATGGGAAAAACCATTCCTTTAAGCGATCAGATCAGGATCGTTCACTCACTGAAGTGAATCGGTTCCTTTTTATAATTCATTGTTCACTAACAATGATCTTCATGAATATGAACGGGGGTGGTTCAAGAGCATTTTGCGGAGATGGGGGGATGGAAAAAATTGAACAAGGAGCGGGATTGACTGAATCAACTTAATCAAATCACTCCTTCTGTGGACTGATTTCTTTCAGCTGTAGTTTTGAGATTTCCTAAAAACACCTTTCAACAGAGACTAATGAAAAAATGCTCAAAAGGTGCCAACCGATCGGCTTTTTATCGCCAATGCCTACCAACCGATAGCCTCTTAATCGCTTTTTTCTCAGGGCTACCTAAAAGTAGCCTATCAATCAGTAGCCATAGTGATAAACAACTGCCATTTTTTTATGTCATCTGCATTTTATTAGTAGTGCATTGCTCACTTGCGCTAAGTGTGTTGCTTCGTAAACTCCCACATTTTCACACCATTTTTAAAAAATTTACCATTCACATTAAGTGAAAAAAAAGGTACTGGATAATTTTATTTAGATAATTTATCAGATTGTCCTCACAGTTATTCAGGAAGTGATAGTGGTGACGAAAATGATGACAGCGAGAATCTGCGACTGAGCGACCAGTCGGACGTGCATATGCTGTTGAACCACTAGCGGTCAGTAAAGTGTTGACACTAAAAGTCTAATAAAATAACCTGTTCTACCATAAAAATCCAATCAAGGTTTTAGTTTATGAACATAATCTTAGCTAACTTTCGCAGCAAGAGACATCTTCTTTTCTCAGTACATATCTGGCCATGCATTAATAAGAAATTTTATGTGAACACCACGACTTCCTTGTATGGCCTATTAAATTATACACACTTTTTGCTGCATTTCATTAAAATTTATTTCCTCGAATTTCATTAGAGATATATTTCTCATTCAGTTAATTCAATTCTCACTTCACGACAAAGCAAAAATGCATAAAAACTCAAAACATCTTCATTAAAAATTCTAAAATTCAGAAAAACATAAAACACCAAATACAGCTGACAGTTTAAAAAAATTTTTTTTTTTTTACAATAAAATTAGTTTCTACACGAAAACAAGCAATTCGGTCAGCGGGCAAAAAGGCAGAGCTTTCTATGCACAAAACTGAGTTTACTTTTGGTCCCACTTGCAAAAAGACATTCAAGGTGCAAAAGCTAACTTGATTCACTATTCCACCGAGTTTCAAATTTAAACAAATGGCGGTTTGTTAGGCATAAGCATAACTATAACTCACCACTTAAATTTTTAAATTGTTGATAATTCTGCAACTGATGCATGCAGATGAACTAAAGGCATAAAAACCTTAACCCAGAACATAAAAACCACATAATTTAGTCACTTTTAAAGCAAAATTTGCGCAGCTTAACAACATACAAAAATAAAAAAAAATAAAAAATAAAAACTAAGCTCACCGAGCCAGGTAACAGACTGGGAATATATTTATGATTGGTGCAGACGATTTCACGAAAAAGGGAGGTGCACAACTACATGTTATAGCAGTCCTGTATACAAAATTTCAACGTTCTAGAGTTACTTGTTATTGAGTTATGCGAGGTACGTACGTATGTACAGACACCTAAAAATCAGTTCTATATACCCCTATAATAGCATTAAAAAAATTTCTTTTAAATCAATTTTACAATGCTTTTCAGCAAAAACAGTCCTTTATTCTGTCAGTACATACAGATGTTACATAAAAACATCGTTCAAATAGTTTCAAGAACAGGTGAAAATGATATTTTCCTTGAAATATAATATCTGTAATTTTTCACGATTACAGTACTTCTTTCGTACAAGGAAGTAAAAAAAAAAAAAAAAAAAAATCAAAGATGTTTCTGATAAATAATAAAGGAAAGAATATTAACATTTACATAAGGGAATCAATTTTTTGGCACGTTTGCTAACAAGAGCTCTTCGTTAACTCGCCATTTCATTTTCGCTGGATTGCTGATCGTTCTCTTGTTAAAGTAAATCAGTTCTGAAATGGATCGTCCAACTCTAACAGCTACAACATATCTCTAAAACACCTAATGTAAACTTGCTAAATTGATGTAGCATACAACAGCCATTATCAAAGCAAAAGAAAGCAAATTGTTATTCATGTGTCCCTAATTTAGTGCCTTGGTGTGATAAATGTATAATTATCAGCATACACATGATTATTTCTTTTCCATGTGCACATGATGTGTTGTTTATCAAAAAGTGAATTTTGTATGCATTCTTCTTTTTGTTTAAAATGATGTCCTGTTGCCTGAAATTGAGAGTAGAACTCATCTAGCCACCTTTCATCTATTTGAGGTCCAGATTCTAAATTTTTTGGCTTTTCATGGGATGACTACTAGTGCATTTAAATTTTGCTGTTTCTACTTCTTTTAAGCAAATAAAGAGCCTTGCAGTCTTTTATTGCTGATTGCATTAGTTTAATTTTACCCTAGCTTATGTATTTAAAAAGGGGAAACTTTTTTTTCTTTGTTTGTTTGTTTAACTCTGAGCGTTATGACTGGGTTTATCTGGTCATCATAAGTTTTGCTACTTCGCATATATTAGCTTATAATTTAAGATATTTTGCTTTTTTACTTTCTTTAATAATGTAAATATCATCTTAATGAATGTAAGTTTATGAAAATACAGACTAAAATAAGTTATTATAAAAACTCAATTAATAAATGCTGTTTAAATACCAGTCTTCATGATCGATCTAAAATCCTGTACTGCTCAGAGGGTTAATGTTATAGTTCAAAATCTCATAATGATTTGTGTAACTTTTCCATTGTCAGTTTTGAGTAATTTTCAGAAATGCATTTCATTATGTCATTAAAAATTGTGTAGATGGTTATTTTAAAATCAAATATAAATGGTTGGGTTGTAGGTAAGTTTGAAAATCACAGTTTTACGAGTTTCACTGGAATGTTCTCTTATACCAACAGGTATTTTAGAGTAAGTTTAATCGAAGGTAAGGAAGGTACTAGCCACTGCTGAACTAGAACTTCTATTATTTTAAATTTTTTACTTTTAAAGAAGTAAATCAACTTATGCCTTCTTGTTGAATTGTTTTATATTTCATTTCATGTATGTTAAGCCTTTTATTGATTTCATATTCTTATACAGTAAAATTTTGATAACTTGCAAATACTGTAAAGCATACTGATTTTTTATTAAAGGCAGAATTTCAGTGTGGTAAATTATGTATTTTTTATATTACCATGTAAACGAATGTTTCACCCCCCCCCCCCCCCCGAGAAAAAAAAAGTAAAATATCGAAGAGAAATTTTCTTATTGAAATTGTTTAGTTGTTTCTATGCAGTGTTTATCCATTACATAGTTAAGACATGCAAAGAATGCATTTTCCCACTTTTTTCAAATGTTGAATAGCTGGTAAATTTCAGCCAAGGAGCATGAGTTGGTGTGAATATGGATTGTTTCTTAGAAATAGACTGTGTAGAAATTTCTTTGGATTTAAAAATCAAAAACAAGGCTATAAAATGCTTTTAAAAAATTATTTGCTTTTAATAAATCAAGACTTTCAGCTCCAGATCTTTTTGCAAGTTGCATATTGTAAGAGTAGAACTAGCATTAAAAAAATATTATGTTTTTATTATTATTTATATATCTGTTTTTTCTCTTGTTGAGCTAATTTTTTTGCTATTGGATGTACAAATTTTGGTATTCTTGTGACAAGTGACCTACCCCCTAACAATGGACCTGTTTTTCATTAACTATGATCAAAACCAAATTAACTGATAACTTTGCTAAACCACACAAGAAGCAGCAGTACATAAATAAGTTACAAGTACTAAGAAATTACAAGTAGTTACTTTTTATTACATTACCAGAAGAATGCGCTGATGTGGTTCTGGTGTGGAAGAGGATTATTATATCCCTCAGTGGTTATCCATTGTGCTGTAAACACATTAAAAGAGCAGTTGAAGCTACCCTATTTCATGTTTGCCAGTAGTTACCATTTTATTACTATGATCAGATGTAAAACAAGACTGATATCCATCCCTGTATTTCATTCATACAAATACTGTCCTGATATTGCTGAATGTGACCAGAAATTTCTCCGCATTGCAGACAGATCTCCATCATAATTCAGCAAGGTGACAGGGCAACATCGCAGGTGTTCCTCTTGTATTCCATACAGAGATTTTTTTATCTGAGTTTGGCACTACTGCAGGATCAATAAATTCATCTGTTTATTTACAGTCGGGGTGTATTGTGATTCATACTCACAAACAAATGCAGAGTAGGTCACCTGTTGCAACGATAATCTTTTTTTTTTTTTTTTTTTTTTATTTCAATGCACTTAACAAATGAATTCTTTATTTCCTCAAAAAATTGCCTATCATTTTTATTCCTTTCCTCCCTTTTCCATTTTTACCTAATGCTTGTATTTTTTTCTGTGTATAAATGTATTAAAAAGTAGATATTGATTAAATAGTTAAAGTATGATTTATTTTATTGTTTGTTTAAAAAAAAAGTCTAACTTAATGTAAAAATTAAGAAATTGTAAACAAAAATTGAGAAAGGCCTGACATGTGATCTGGAAAATTCTCCAATTGTTGCATCCTTGTCCCAGGCTATGCAATTATCGAAATTTTGCTGTATTTTAAGTATGTTTTAAACTAGTGTAATACTCCAGGCTCAAAAAATTTATGAACTAATTATTATTCTTTTTAATTCAGGGGACGCTTCGTGTGCTGCTAGTTTTACTGCATGATTTCCCCGAATTCCTTTGTGATTATCATTATGGATTCTGTGATGTTATCGCTCCGAACTGCATCCAAATGCGGAACCTGATTTTAAGTGCTTTTCCTAGAAATATGAGACTGCCAGATCCTTTCACTCCAAATCTTAAAGTGGATCTGCTGCCTGAAATTACTCAAGCTCCAAGGATATTGGCGAATTTCAATAATTTAATACAACCTCCGTCTTTTAAAAAGGTTTGTAATATCAAATACAAAAAGGAAAAAGCGGTCAGTGTCCATGCAAATATTGTATCTAAAGCTTAATTGCATTAAAAACAACTTTTGGATATTGAAGATTTCCCATAATGGTGAAAGATGTATAACAAGGGTTTCTAATAGGGTCTATAGCCATATATGTCCCAGCAATAATTGGAAAAATCCAAGATCCCTTTGATTACCAAAAAACTTGTTACTAAACTTGATAATTATTTATTGATATGAAGCTCTGTCATGTAATAAGAAAGAAATCATGTAAAATAAGTGTAAGAAAATACACTAAAATTATTTATACTTGTACAATTTATATATCAATAAATTTATATATCAATAAATATTATTGATATATAAATTGTTTATGTATCTAAAAATAAAGTAAAATGCAATAACACAACACAATTAAAAATTTACAGAGTGCAAACTAAAAAGGAAAACAAGAAACAGGTTGAGAATTTCTGAACAAGAAGATTTAAAAATTGAGCAATTTTATTCCAAATACACTGATGGGGGGGAAAAAATTCAAACACCAAGAAGGAGTTGTGTTAGATGAACAAAATTTGGTAGATGTGTTTTTATACATTTGAAAGATGTAGTTTATTCAAATTCCGTGCTAGGCATCTAAGTGTAGCACTACTAGTGCCTCACTTAGGGGAATATGCAGATTAAGTTTACTTTAAATATGCACTGTGAAGTTCACGAGCATTATTTTTCTTTGAGATTTGACTTGGGGAGTTGATGTTAGTCACGAATGTCTTTCAGAAGACTAAAAAAACCATTATCAGTAGCTCAGTGAGTTTCGATGAGGTTGTATAACAAGGCTATGAGAAGGTGGATTTTCTTTCCACAATATTGCAGAAAGACCCTGCAGTAATGTATCCATTGTGCATGACTGTTGGCAGCAGTGGTCAAGGGAAGGCACTGGCTCAAGACGACAGGTTTCCAGGTGGCCACCTGGCAGTACTGAGAAGTACGGTTGGGTTATGGGTGTGGCGCATCGTATTGCGTCTGTAGCAGAAATCTGAGCACACAGTGATGCAACAAACTGTTATATAAATCACTTACTAAGAGGACAGCTCTGAGGCAGATATCCCTGTGTTGGTTAGGAGGAGGCCATATGAGTGTTTGCAAACTACCTCTCTGTAGCCTAGAAACACTGCCTGGATAAGCTGTTTTTAAATATTTTGTGAATTTGCTGTTGAATTTTTTTTAAGTGTACGTGAAAAGAAAGTAATGTTCAATAATAGTTTTTAAAAAAAAGTTAGCAGAATTGAGTCCAAGAGCATCTTAGTAAACTATGAGCTCCACGAAAACTAAAAAGCCGTAACAAATCCTTTGGTGCCACATTAAGATCTGAAGCATTTCTTTTCCCCTCCCCTTGTTCAACACATGGATGTAGGAAGTTAGATGAAGTGGCCCTAAACCGGTTTCCCCCATACTCTGCTTTTGAAGCACTGGCGATCCCTTCGTTGGTGACCAAAACATTGGGGAATTTATCATTAAGTTCAATGGGTTTTGACACAATTGGATATAAATATTTTGTAATTACATAGTAAATATGCATATAAATGTATATATTTTCTTTTCCTTTTCTTCAGAGTCCTAAGTATATGAAAAGAACACATTTTTAAACAACATTTCATTCTGAACGGAATTAAATGCTATACTTTTCACAGAACAGTGTGCTCAGAATGGTTTAATTTGAATGAAATATTTTCGTTAATTACATCGGAAGAAAATTTTAAGGTAATTCAATTTTCTTCGGTTAAGGATTCCAAAAATTAAGATCAATGTTTATTGTATTATTAAAATTATGCATTATTTCTTTTCTATTTATAGAGCTTCTTCCTAAAATACTTTCTCATATATGACATGATTATTTTAGCTTCTGAGGCATCTTTTAAATCGAAAACTATAATTCAATTTATAATTAATGCTCTATTTGGTCCATTTCAAATTAGAGCACTTTTTAATTTAATAGCGAAATACTTTAAATAGTACTTAACTATCTCTGAATGTTTCTGAAAGGGAATAAAATAAGGATTTTTTTTAAATATTATTTAAAACTTGTAACTGATTATAAAATGTAAGGGGAATAATTCTTTTAATTATACTTATTAGATTTTTTTACCCTTAATTTCAACAATACATATTCCAAAACTCTTCTTTATTACTTTCTGAAATACGCATCTCGTAGAAATTGCTTTACAATACCTTGTAACATATTGCTTTCCTGTGCAACAATTCTTGGTTAAATGCGTAGTTTTATAACGTATTTGTCAATGGGATGTCAATTTATGTTTACAATTCAATGTTAAGGTTATTATATATTTAGATAATACTTATAATCATTGTAAATTTAGATACATTTAATAATTAGATTTCTTCACAGTAACTTTCACAGTTGTTTATGAATGAATAAATCCGTCATTTCAAATACATTTATAAATAATTTACATATTTGTTAAAGGCAGATACATGCTTTTTGCAAGCACATGCATAAATACCCATACATATTTCATATTTTTCATTTCTGGCATGTGGAAATCTTTAATTTCTGTGCATTCACTATATTTTTTGAGTAAAGTAATTTACACTAATTTTAAAAAGTACATGTTACAGTAATATGTGGATGTGAAAAAAAATGTATTTTATTTAAAATATTTTGGCATTTGAAACATAAAATAAAAGTAGTGAATACTCTATCAAGGGTATCAAAAGATGTATACAATTTTAAAGGTATGGTAAGGTATTTTTCATCCTTTAAGCATAACTTTTTTGCTAAAATCTATATTTTTGTAGTTCAACAACTTAGAATTTTATAAAAATAAATTCATAATCAAAATCGCTGTTGTTAGTTATCGAAAAATAACCAAGGTGTGATTTTTGTGTAAATGTCGCTAAACTATACAAATTCACCACACTAGGAATGTTTCTTTTATGTGGAAGTGTCCCGTTTTTCGATTTGTATGGAACTGCCTTGTGTTGAAATACTATCAGAGCGCTGCCCCATCTGCCGATTTGGCCACTCCTTCCTTTCTTACCTCCATGGTTCAACATTTTCATTTGTGCCAAAATTACAACACTTCTAAAACTGGATATAAACTAAGAAACTAAGAAAACAGAAAGAACTGAAAGTTCAGCTTATGATAGCCATGAGCCTTCAGACAAGCATGCTAATGACCAGCATCAGGAAGAATCAACAGCAATTACCTGTCTTTCCTTGCCACTTTATCGAGAGGAGGAATTGGATAAAGAGAAAATTACTTAGAAATAGCAAAACTTTACCCTCTTATTTGGCATACGTATTGTTGCAAAAGGTAAAAGAAAAAAATTGCAATACCAAAACAAATCTCAATGGAAGAGGAAAACTTGCAAATATTTGTATGCATGAATATGTACTATAATTACAATAAGTGAAACAGGCTTATACTGTTTGCACTATAAAGATATTAGAAATTAGTCTATTTATAAACTACTTTATTATTTTTAAAATGATGTTCTACTTGACCAGCTTAAATAATTAGGCAATTAAAAAAAAGCGAAGAAAAGAAGTGATTGTCAAGTTTGTGTGATATACTTTGCAGTGCCTTTTTTTGTTAGAGTAAAGTTAGAATCATTCAACAAAGTCAGAACTTTGTTGCTTGAAAATGTGTATTAATGATTGTTGTTTTGGGGCATAAATTTGTGTTATTTGTGTTTTATGAGCTATATGCAACTCAACTGTACTGTTTTACTTATGTAGGATTTGGACTCTTACATAAAAACTAGAGCACCAGTAACATTCTTATCTGAACTCAGAAGTAGTTTACAGGTATGTATTTTTGTAATTCATGTATTCAAAAGTTTCTAAACTATTTTAAGTAATTTCTGAACATTCACTTCCCCACAAATCATTGGTGACTTTGTAAACTGACAAAAAAAAGTTTGCCTGCACAGTTGTATTGATAAATAATAATGAAATGAATTTTGACTGAATATATTTTGTTTTTTACTTTCTCTTCCCAGATTTTTCATGGACTAATGTTATTATATATATAATTGTTCGAATATCTTCATTAGGTTTCTAATGAGCCTGGAATGCGGTACAATATTCCTCTTATAAATGCTTTGGTTTTGTATGTGGGAACCCAGGCCATTAATTATATTCAAAGTAAAGGTTCTACTCCAAACATGAGCACCATTACTCATTCTTCTCATATGGACATATTTCAAAACCTTGCAGTCGATTCAGATACAGAAGGTAAGGATTGGTTAAGTGTACTATAAATATTTTTTTAATTTTTGAGAGATAGAAAGCTGTTTTGCAGAAAAATTTCAGTTATAAACTTCACTTACAGATTGAACCTCAGTTAATGCATTTTTCCCAATAATGAGCAGGGTATGAATCCCCAGACTCCCAAAACAATTATTTAATACTAATTCTTAAAAATTCAGTATATGGCCATAGGAATATGTTTATTGAAAATTATTCTTAGAGGCATCATTATTGTAATATGCCTTGTACATTTTGAGTAGAGGTGAGTTAAGTGAAGGTTTTATTACAATTTTGTTTTTGGTGAAATGATAAAGATTTTGAAGTCAAATTATTTATCTCATAGTTTGTAACATTTAGCTCAAAGTTTATAAGTTTTTTAGCACCAGAGGCACAATTAGTCTCGATTCTCAGTTTTGTCTATGTCACTTTTCAAATAAAAGGATATTGCTACTGAAGGTTATTACTTTATATTATTTAAAAAAAATGGAGCAAATATAAGAAAATGTATGTTAACATTTAACACTAATGCAAATTCTAGAAATGTGCTGTTTTTAAATGTTTTGTGATTTTGCGGTTTAATTTGTTGTGGCAAAAGTTCGAAAAAAAAGTTATGATTAATAAAAAACAAAAAAAGTTGTGCAAGTCACCTTACTTAACACTGATATGATAAACTGAGAAAAGACTGAAAAAAGTAACAGCAATGCTTAACACTTCTTCAGAAATTCTAAAAATATGCAGTTTTTAAAAATTTAGTAATTTTACTGTGAATTATATATGTCATAATTATGAAGAAAATGATGCATAATAATGTTAAACAGGGGGGAAGTTATGTTAGCAGGAGCGAGTCAAAGAGCAGATTGGTAAACTTTGAGCTCAGCAAAAGTATACAAAATCCCTTAACAAATCATATGGTGTAATGTTAAAAATCTGTTTCCCTCCTCCTTAATATAGAAACATGTTATCTGAAGTTGTGATTTCTTTGCTATTGCACAGGAACGGTAAAACAATATCATAATAAGGATATCTTTAAAGCAAAAATTAAAGTGTGTAGGTCCTTTTTCTCCTTAAAAGCACGTAGATAGCAAAATTAAATGTTTCCCCGCCTTTCAAGATATTGCGATGAAAAATAGATTACTGCTTGCTTCGATACAACTGTAGACATTCTGTCTAGAAGTCTTCTTTTAGTAACTACACAGTATACTGGTTTTTTTAATGTGAAACATTAAATATAATTAAGATCTTTTCATTTTCACAGGACGTTATCTATTTTTAAATGCCATTGCCAATCAGCTAAGGTATCCAAACAGTCATACTCACTACTTTAGCTGTACCTTGCTATACTTGTTTGCAGAGGCTAACACTGAAGCTATTCAAGAGCAAATAACAAGGTTAGTGTATTTGCATTTGGTGTAAGTTTGTAATTGTATTTTATATTTTTATATGCTCTGATGTCTTCTGTTTTGCTTGTTGTGTATTTCATATTTGAAAAAATCATGAAGTTATCTTTTGGAATCCATTTTAGTGAAATGTAAAAATGTGTTATGTGTATATGCGTTTCTTGAAATTCATTACAGTCGAACACCACTGTAATGAACCTCAAGGGAACAGAAGGTTGGTTTGCTATATCGGATCTGATGAGAAAAGTGGGTTATCTCGCATAAATGTGTAAAATCTGAATGATGATTTGAATGAAAAGAATTGAATAATTTATCTAATTTATAAAAAAATCTTATCAAAATTTATTTAGAATTATTACATGCAGTCATTGAATTTGTTGGTTAATTTTAAATATCGTTCTTGTCCTTGCCTCAAATGACCCATTTATACCTATTAATAACTATTTTTATCTATAACAATATAAAAACACTAAAGAGGAATAACAAAAAAATGCTGTTGATGTGCAGAAAGTTTATATTCATAGTTGTTATATAACCTTTACAAAGAATATCCTGTATCCTGCAGAAGGCCTAAAGAATACAAAGCTATTGTTTGAAAGACATAACTTATTTGTACTCAAACTGATGAGGATCAAACTTTCATTCCTTAAAAGACGAGTCAACAGTATACCCTTGACTAATGTGATTCACCGTTTCCTCTTTCCCTGAATTCTGAAAACTTCAAAACAAACAACTCAGCCAGAAAAATTTGGATGAAATCTGAGAACGCATTCATGTTCTTTGGTTCAATGCTTTTTAATATTATATGGTATCTTAATATATGCTTATTGAGTCCTCGTTCTCTTAGAATTGGGCTCGCATCTGTCTGACTCTTTGTTTAGAACAGAAGAAGTATGAGAAGAAAGATAAAAGTAACGTAAAGATATTTTCCTTTACAGATGCCCCCCCCCCAAATCCTGCTATGCTGCCTCAACGTGGCGGGGGGTGTCACTGGGCGGAGCGGGCGAATTCTGGGGTGGAAAGACAAAGTATATAACAAGCTGAGAAATGTAAAACCCACCATTGGATACTGGCCATGTATGGCTAATAGAAAGGAGGATGTCCTCTTGACTCGACTGATAATTGGCCATTGTCGCCTGACCCATGAGTATCTTCTGAAGGAGAGAGAATCCCACTGCCCAAACTGCAATCGATCTGACATCCATCATATCTTGGTGAATGCCAGAGTTTTATTATTTTCGCCAAAAACATTTTAATTGTTCAGAACTTGGACTTAGGAAATTTAATTGGAAAACCCATCATCGTAATTTGTTTCTTTTTTAAAAAGAATTGCTTTTATAAATGACTTTAACCTGTTTTTTTAAAAGATATCAGCTTTACATAGATTGTAATCTGTCTCTTTTACCTAAGCTGGAAGTTTTTACAAATGACTAATTACATTGTTACCATTTGTCTGGCGCAGATAACCTTGACAGGTTTTGTGCCAATTTACAATAATCCAATCCTTTACAGATGGAGAGTGGACCGTAACATTCTAAACATGGATGATTTCATGGGCTAACAACTTTTTTGTTTAAGCTTATGGAAATCATAGGAAAAATATAAAACTAATAATGTAGAAACTGTTCATATTATATCCAAGTGTCTTATATAGACATTAGGTATTTTTTTGAAGCAGGCAAGATGAAAAATTAGCAACACCTTCACCGGGAATCGAACCACAGACCGTCTGAAATACAGGCCCAGCGTGCAGAACCACTACACCACGAAGGCACACTAGGAAAGTGAGAGAAATATTTTTTGAAGCAGGTAAGATGAAAAATTAGCAAAGCCTTCACCGGGAATCGAACCACGAACCTCTTGAATACCGACACAGCATGCAGAACCACTACATCAGGAAGGCACGCTAGGAAAGTGGGAGAAATAAGTCTTACTCTTGGAGATTCGCTGTAGCAGCATAAAATAACATTTAAGTGTGTAGAAAAGGAGATGAGACTAAAAGACTCATTCATTTTAGCAAGGTTTAACTGTATGACCTTTTATTTGTATCCATATGTCTGATATTTGGTGTTTAACTAAACTGTGATGAATGGGAATTAGTCATCACCTACATTTTGTGACCTTTTAAGTGTGGGAGGTTTGAATATAAGGAATTTTTGCCTCCTCCTTGCTTGGTCTTGAAGTATAATTGGTGGCATGTCTTATTAGCAGTTATATGTTCCCAAAATTGCTGATCACTTTCAGAAGCAATCGTTTTGATAGTTTCAGTGTATTTAAATATTTATCCCCCCCTTTTTTTAAGTATTAGCTTTTTGCTGATTTATATTACTTCTGTTGTTAAAATTTTCTTTACAACTCAACATGTATTCTCCTGTTCATAAGTAATAATGAAAAGATTGTTCACTGTTTGTTCTTGTTTTGCAATACAGTGACCAATGTTTATTTATTTATTGTTATGTCAAAATTGTTTTACAATGTGAATATTTTTTAAATGTTAATGACTATTTATTGTTTTACTAAAATTGTGTTAGCAGTGCAAACATTTTATCTGCTTGATATTAATTTCAGTGATAAAAATTCAGTTTGTGTTTAATAATGTATTTCATATCATGATTTCCATAATGTTTGCTCTGCTTACAAGTATAAAAGTATATTTACTTACAAGTATATTTTTCTCTTCAGGGTATTACTAGAGAGGCTTATTGTCAATCGTCCTCATCCATGGGGCTTGCTTATAACTTTCATTGAATTGATCAAAAATCAGAATTTCAAATTTTGGAATCATGAATTTGTACGGTGTGCCCCTGAAATTGAAAAGTGAGTTATGCTTTTTTGAATATCATTTGTTTTGAGTTTTGTATTCCACATGAAGTCCACATGTTCAGAGGTACTGAAGTAAAAATTTGAAGTTCTTGCTTTGCATTAAATTTTTGAAATAATAAATTTCATACTTATTATTTGAATTGCAGTAATAAATTTCATACTCGTTATTTGAATTAATGGAGCTTAAATTGTGCAAAATTATTTAAATTTCCCTATCCCAGAATATGTTTTTCAGAATAATATTTTCTATTAAAATCAGTTTTATCTAAATTGCTTTAATGGGCTATAGCCATCTGTATAAAAGTGTAAGGATATAACGAAATGAAATTACCATACATTTCTGAGTATAAGCCAAGAATTTTTGGGACTTTTCTAAAGCTAAATTATAGGGGTTAGCTTATATACAGATTTGCATATCTTGTAAAAAATGTAGGTATTTTTCCATTAGCTGAGCCAAGTGATGAATTGCTAAATATCACAGTTTTTTATTTCTTTAGTCTGTATGTCATAAGTTTCTGAAAACATTCATTTTAATTTAAATGAGTTGTTTTATTTTCAAAATTATTTAAAATGTTGTTGGAATTTTCAGCAAAAGCGATCATGTGTAATTTGAAATTTGCCATATAAGAATTTCCCTTCCTGCACATCTTTCAGGCAAAAATGGCATGAAAATAAGACTAACACAGATACTACATACTGCTTACAAGACAACAAATGAATAGAATGTTCTTGTGCTAGCTTCAGATAGGGTTACCTAAGTTAAAACCATTGTTGGTGGCATCTGGCATTTTACTTTACAGCAATTTGATTTTTAAAAAAATCCATTCATTTGACCTGCTTGATCCATGCAGGTAAAATGAATGGTAACATTTTTTGCCCTGTCTGAATGTTACAAGATTGCCCCCGTTTTCGACTTATATTTGGGTTTTGAATATTGGGTAAATTTTTTGGAAGGAGAAAAAAGCACTCGAATTACACGTGGATCAGCTTATATTTGGAAATATATGGTAGCCAAAGAACGTAAAATTTAAAATATGTAACTAAGTATGTCAGAATCATTAAAAATAATCAAATAACCTGAATCATGCATTATGAAATGAATCAGAATAAAATTTTCTAATCTTTGCATCATTTGTGTTCAATTTAATTTATGTTTTGTATTCATAGTACAAAATATTGGTTTCTGTTTTATATTAATGCCTTATTTATGGCAAATTAGCTCAAGTTATAGTATTTATTTATTAAATTATTCTGCATTGATTCCTATATGTAACACATTTCATAAAAATAATTAAAATAAGATGGTTCTTTGTACAAGTTGTCTGTAGTTTCAAGTAATTGGGTCATTTCTATTTTATACTTTTGTCTTATTTGTTTGTATTTGAGCAATGTGCTCTTTCCTTTCCAGCCTGTAGGGGATTGGATTGGTAGATGCACAAATTAATCTAATTTGAATCGCGTTTTGTTTACACATTTATGCATTTGTTAGTTCATCTCATTGTGGGAAAATGAAGTGTTGTATTCGTGCGAAGTTTTCTTTTAGTGGAGCACTGGATTACTTTTTAGCTGTATAACATTTTATTACAGGGTTATAACATTATGTACAGCATTGACAAACTTTCAGGAAAGATGTACACCTAGACAATGAGAAATCACATAGGAATGCATGGTCGGAAACGCTTTCGTGGCACTGTAGTGACCACACAAAAATGTGAGACAAAACATGTTTTACAGCAGAAACGTACAAATAAGAATAAAAACAACAATTGTCATTAAAGAAGGTGTTCAAAATTACGACCCTGAACCATGATGCAGGCCTCACATCTCCACGTGAAAAACCTGCATCATGAATGGAAGATGCATGACGCATGGTTCCTGCATTACAGTCCAAGTCGTAATTTTGAACACATCCTTTGATGATGATCATTGTCTCTTTATGTTGTCGTTTCTTTGTTCTTGTTGTACTCCAAATAAGAAACATCTTTTCCCCGATCCATTCGTGTCCTTTCTCTCTTTTGTGTCGTAACTACCGTACTAGGAAAGCATTTCTAGCCATGCATTACTGTGTGGTTTCCCATCATCTAGGTATCTCTTCTGAAAGTTTGTCAATGCTGTACTGATGCACCCTGTGTACAAAACACTTTACATCTAAATAATTTATATTAGAGTATACAATATATTTCTTTATAAACACAGATTATTTTCAGTTGAAAGTTTCAAACATGAAAAGCTTTGCTACAATCTTGATGTAAAGCTATATTATTACATATTTTTCATTTATAAACAGTGTGGTTATGGCATTCTTTATAATGAAGTCTTCTGTTATCCCTGGACTTAATGATAAAATGTCCACAATCTGCATACAGTGCCTTTTGAATTATAGAATTTACAAAGTCTTCCTGCTGATGATCTATTTCTGGGTAAGTCTTCGCTCTCAGTGGGAATTTGGTAAAGGAATAATGCATTTCTGCATCTGAAGTCTCAAAGAGACTTTATTTCCACAGGGTTCGTAGCGGTCCTTATAAGTGCTTATAAGTCCTTATATTTGAAAATAAAATATAAAGGCCCTTATAGGTGCTTACTTTTTCTTTAAAGCCTTATTTTTTTGTTTTTTTTAGTGATTTTTTTTCCCTTCAGTGCTTTTTTTTTTTTTTTTTTTTTTTAGTAAACTTACAAAAATGGTTGTGTTAACACAGATTAGCTTTCAAGGAATAATATCGGAATGGCTTAAATAAAGGAAAAGTAATCAACAGTCAAAAAAATTTAATTTTTTGGCCAAACATTATACAGTACGAAGGTTGGGAGGTTCTTCCCTTTTTCCGAAAAATCGAATATTAAACTGTTACAGTTCTCTGCAAAACAAGCAACGGGCTTTTTTTTTTTTTTTTTTTTTTTTTTTTTTTTTTTTTTTTTTTTTTTTTTTTGTTACTTTCTAATCTGATAATAGGACTAAAGTTCTGCCATCTACCAAACAAGCGCAGATGATTCTATTCCGGATATTAACGCAGTCATGAAAAAACACCCCAGATTGTAGTCTCTTTTTTTTTCCTTTGATTAAATTCTTATTCTATTCTCCCATACCGGCAGGTGTGATTCTGATTGCATAATATCAGTAGGGAAAAACTGCACACATTTGCGCAATAATTGCGATATTTTGGGGGCAGAGATAATATTTTGATGTTCATTCCGAGATTTGTTTAAAACCTTAAAGGTTTTATGGCTTGCAAGCTGAATATTTTTCAGTTCCTGGTTTATTTTATATGCTGCACAATCAATATTCAAAACTTTATTTAGCGGAAAAAATCTAAGAACAGCTACAGTCACCCCCCCTCCTCTCCTCCTCTTTTTCAGGTTTCGCTCGACTGTGTGTCCGCATATTTGCCATTCCAAGATGCGAGTTAGTGAAGCTTTTAAAGGATGACTGCTGAAGCAAATTTCCTCCGTCTTCTATTTCAGAATGTTCCTTTTTTTTACTTACTTACTTGCTTGCAATCTGTTAGGAAGAAACTGATAAGCATGAAAATTTAGAAAATAGTTAGAATTTAGATTTAATCATTTAAATATAATATGATTGAAAAAATAAATTGTATTTATTATTAAGTCCAAGCGAATACATAAATTGCCTTATATATTTATTTCTCTATTTTGAACTTAAATTTACATAATTAAATCTTGTAATATGTTTAGTTCTGCTTTTTTTTTCTCTCTCATTGTAACTAGTTCTGTAAATTTAACTGTATTTAAATTTAAAAAAGTAATTTTTTCATGGTTGGTAATGATATTCTCTTAATAAAACTGCATTTCTCATATTTTAAATTACAAGTCTAGATTTTAAGGTTATGTAGTTGTGTATAATGTAATTAGACAGGTGCTTATTTTTTTTCTTAAAATGTGCTTGAAAAGTGCTTATAGGTGCTTATTTTTTTAGCTAAAATGTGGCTATGAACCGTGTTTCCAGTAATAGAAAGTTGTGTTATCTGGTTTTAATGAAAGTTTTCTGCCACCGCAAATATCGTCTGCACAAACAGTTTGTGTTGACATCATATTTTGTCAAACAATTTTTGGCATTTCAAAGAATGAGACTTGCTTTTGAACATTGTGTTGTGAAATATGTAAAAAAAAAATATTGTTGTCATTAAGCACAAGTTATGTGAAATGGAACTGTGTTGCTACTACAGTAGAACCATCATTTACTTCCAGTTCTGTTGCAAAAAGTCAGCTGCAGAATGTCACCAAATAATGTGTACAGCTTCAGGTACAAATGCTGTATTATATGACATTGTTAAGGTTCAGTACTGAAAGTTCAAAAACAGGGACTATGGCATTTAAGAAGCAGATCGTTCTGGCCGGCCTACTGATACGAGAACTTGTAGAAGACCAGTATGCAACCACTCAAGAACTTGCTAAGGCATTAGATGTTTGTGCCATGTCTATTAGTTGTGGTATTCTAGCCATGCATTCCTATGTGGTTTCCCATCATCTAGGTGTCTCTTCTGAAAGTTTTTCAGCACTGTACTGATGCACCCTGTGTACAAATCACTTTACTTGTAAATAATTTATATTAAAGTTTACAATATATTGCTTTATAAACACAGATTATTTTCAGTTGAAAGTTTCAAGCATGAAAAGCTTTGCTACAATCTTGATGTAAAGCTATATTACATATTTTTCATTTATAAACAGTGTGGTTATGGCATTCTTTGTAATGAAGTCTGGTATGCATCTCATAAACTTGACGTACATGTGTGGATTCAAGCAGATAAGGGCAGACATGTTCAGGTCTGCACTAATCTGCTCGAATATCAATGCAAGGACAAAATTCTGGACTATTTTGTCACATGTGATGAAAAGTGGATTTACTTCAACAACATGAGCCATAAAGGGAGTTGGTCTGCACCCAGTGAGCCCATTGAAAGCGTCGCAAATGCAGTTTGACTAACAAAAATGCTTTGTGTTTAGTGGGATTGCTGTGGTATTATTCACAAAGAGTATCT